CAATTCAAGCTCAACAGTCGCTCTTCGGAAACCCTATACAGGGTCGCTATGAGTTGGAACCAACTCGACGGCACTTAACAACAAAAACAACTGTAGGATAATCACTGGACTTCTAACCACAGATTGGTTGTTCAAGCCCACTGGCCAGTCCTCAAAAACCCTATCCAGGGTCACACGATGAAGTTGTAACTGACTTGACAGCATTTAACAGCAGCAACAACAATGTATGTACATTCCTAGTTGGCACAAACTGTTAACTCCTGGCTACTAATGGAAAGGTTAATAGTTTAAATGTACCCAGAGATGTCTCAAAAAAGTTCTAGCAGTCTGCTTAACCAAAAAATGAGCCATTGAATATATAATATTCATGATTACCATAGAAAATAGCATACAAAACAAATATAAAAGGAAAGGAAAAGGGAACCAAAATGTCTCACTATAACAAAACACAAAAACAAGCCAGTAGTAAAGGACAGAGAAGGTTTAAAACATACCCAATAAAACAAAACCAAATGATAGAAGTCATTTTTCGTCAATAATAACCATGACTATAAATGTACTAACTTGAATCAAAAGGCAGAGAGTGCCAGAATAGATTTTTTCAAAGACCAAAAATGATCTAACAATATGCTATGTAGAAAAGACATACGTTAGACCCAAAGACACAAACAGGTTGAAAGGGAAAGAAAAAGGGAAAATAATACTATAAACCAACTAGACTTAACAGACATAAGTGGAATACTCACCCAACAACAAAACAATATATATTCTGCGCCAGTGCACATGGATAATTCTCCAGTATAGACCATATTGTAGGTCCCAAAGCAAGTCTCACTAAATTTTAAGATTAAAAAATCATGTAAAGTATTTTCTCTGACCAAACAGAGCAAAGCTAGAAATAAAAGAAAGAAAGAAAAAAACATTTTATAAATGCAAGTCATGGAAACTAGCGCACTGTCAGACTACCATTGGTCAATTGAGAAATCACAAATTTCTTACAGTCAAATGAAAAGGAAGACAGCAACATACCAAAACTTAATGGATACAGTGAAGGCAGTACTCAAAAGAGAATCTTTTATCAACAAATGCCTACATGAAAAAAGAAGAAAGATCTCAACTCAACTGCCAGATTTGACATTTTGAGGACTTAGAAACAAAAGAACTAACTAGGCCTACACCTACCAGAAGGAATGAAATAACAAAGATCTGAGCAGAAATGAATTAAATGAAAAACAGAAAAGCAATAGAATCAGCAGAACCAGATAATCAATAAAATTGGCATACTCTCAGCTAGACTGACAAGGAAAGAAAGAGATTCAAATAACCAAAATAAGAGGTGAAAGAAGAGCTGTTACAACTGACCTGATAAAATAAAGAGCTTTACAACAATATTATGAAAAACCTTGTGACAACTAACTATATAATCTTGATGAAATGGACTAATTCTTAAAAACACACCCTACCCAAACTGAACTCAAAAGGAAATAGAAATTCTCAGTAGACCTATAACAAGTGATGAGATTGCATCAGTGATCAAAAACCTCTCAATGGAACAAGTTTTTAATCAGATGGCTTCCTTAGGGAATTTTGCCTAACATTTGGATGAGAATTACAACCAGTCCTATTTAAAGATAAGAGACAAATAGTTGCACCTTAAAAGTTATTATGACACCAGCCATTACTCATCAAAGTAGGATGTAAATCGTTCTTTGTGGACTGTGTTAGGCTAGTTGACCTTGGTGTCCCTCGAGACTATGGCCCTAAATCCCCAGGCCCAGTAAACTCAGTTCACTTAAGGTGTTTGATTATGGCTAAGAAATTTTCACAACTTTGCACTGTGTGCTCTACTATATTCATGGTTATATTTGCAGCACATATAAATACATATGTAAAAATAACCTCTGTCAAACAATTCATATTACTGGATATAGATAGGTAGATAAGTAGGTAGGTAGGAAGGTAGGTAGGTAGGTAGGGTAGGTAGATAGAGTCAGTGTCGACTCACAGCAACCGTGTGCACAACAGAATGAAACATTGCCTGGTCCTGCGCCAACCTCACAAATGTTGATACATTTGAGCCCATTACTTGTGCCACTGCCAATCCCATTTTATTGCAGGATCTTCCTCTCTTTCTCTGATCCTCCGCTTTGCCAAACATGATATATTATCAGGAGGGACCATGAGGGACTGGTCCCTCCTGATAATATGTCTGAAGTATGAAAGATGAAGTCTGGCCATCCTGACTTCCAAGGAGCATTCTGGCTCTAACATTGATTTGTTTGTCCTTTTGTCAGTCCATGGTACTTTTAACATTCTCCTCCAATACCGTAACTTAAATGCCTCAATTCTTCTACGTTCTTCCTTATTCACCGTCCAACTTTCACATGCATATAAAGTTATTGAAAATACCATGACTTGGGTCAGGCGCACCTTAGTCCTCAAACTGACATATTTACTCCTCAACACTTCAAAAATTTTTACTGTGAATTGAGTTGAGTTTTACATGGAGTATCTATGTTCTTTCAGAGTTTTGTGTATGTCTTCTCAGTGCAGTTTTGCCTGCATGATTTCTCCTGAGAAAACAGAGTTTAATCTTATTGGTACTCCTTTGTAGGTAACTTTGTTTTTCCTGAATTGCTTCCAGGATTCTTTTCTTTGTTTGTGGCTTTGGTGAGTTTGGTTATGATATGTCTTGGTGCTTTTCTTTTGGAGTCTATCCTGTTTGGGGTTCATTCAGCTACTTGAATGCTATCTTTTTTTTGTCTTTCATGATGTTACAAAAGTTTTCTTCAAGCAACTCTTTTACTGTATTTTTTGAGCTTTTTTTTTTTTCTCTCTTCCTGTTCTAGAATTCTGATCACTCATAAGTTATTTTCTTCATGGTATCCCACATAAATATTAGGCTTTCATTGGATTATTTTTCATTCTTTTTTCTAATTATTCCTCTAGCTTACTAGTATTGAGATATTTATCTTCAAGCTCACTAATTCAAGCTTCCATTGATTAAAAACTACTTCTTCGCCCTTTCATTGTATTGTCCATATCTGAAATTTTACTCTTATTTAATCTTCTGAATTTCTGTTTACAGGTTTTGTATTGGCTCCAGTCCTTCAGGTTTTTTGTTTGTTCCTGTAGTGTTTTCCTAAATTCTTCCTTACTTACTTTGACATTCCTGTCAGTCATTTGGAGGTACCTAATTGCTGTTATTGTCTTGAATCCTCTTCAAGTAGTTACAATGTCTTTTTCTTTCTTTCTTTCTATCACTTTCTATCTCTGCCTCTTGGTCACTTGTTTGAGCCACTCTATCTTGTTTGTGTGAACAGAAATTGTTTTTTGTGGTAGTGTTGTGTCTGTGTTAAGTTGATGATTGTACGTTGGTGTAATCTCCTGGTGAATGTGATGAGAGATTGGACACATGTGCATCATTCTCTGTTTTCTGTTCATGCAGCTCCATTTAGGATAAGTTTGGCCAATGGTTTTTGTTGTTGATCTGGTGTCTAGTAACTGGTGTCGGTTCTTGCCCAATGGTTGGTGCTGTATGAGGATAGTTGCTGTTCCTTGTTGGGTGAGGCAAGAAGAAGAAAAAGACAAACAAAAGAGAGAAGGAAACCAACCAAGCAAATAACAGCAAAAAAGGGAAAATAATGGGGGGCGGGGGCAGCCGGCGGCTGGAAACAAAGTAGAAAAACCAAAATGAGAAACGTTGGGAGGAGGAACCCACAGAAGAGACAAAATTGAAATAAAAAGAACTAAATATAATTAGGGAGAGGGGTGGGTAAACCGGAAAGAGATCAGAGAGGAGTAAAGAAAAAGCAAGTATGCTGGGGATGGGGGGAGAGGGGAAGTAGTAAAAACTGTTGGGAAAAAGAAGAAAAAATAAGAGATACAAAGGGTAAAAATCAAGGGCATGTAAAGAGAGGAAGAAGGAGAAGAAACAATTAACAAACAAAAACAATGAAAGGAACAATCCAAGGCAGTAGCAGCTAGACCTAGAGAGTAGAAAATTCTGGGCTCTCCTGCTAGCTAAGGCCCTCACGTGGTGGTTAGGCAAGGGATGAAATGGTGACATGCCCAGCCCTGGATGGAGTTCCTGTAGGACTGTGTGTTGTCTATTCTGGGCAGCCAACCTGGCCCAAAGCATTTGGGGGATTCACGTATTTCCATCCCAGAGGACAACCAAGGGTCAGATGCCCTGTTAGTCCTGAGCTGACCATAACTTGCTCTATAAATCTGGAGTAGGCCACCCCTCATTCCAGGTGCTGGAGTTGGTGCTACTGTTTCCCCACTCCCTT